GCCCCCCGCGCCGGCGCCAGCCCACTAGGCGGGCCTGGAGCCACGAGTGGGAGCGGATGTGGGCATCCCGCAGCACCGTACACCGCCGGATGCACACGCCGTCCTCCACCACCACACCGGGGCCCAGCGTCACGTTGGGGCCAATGCTGCAGTTCTGGCCTATGCGGGCACTGGGGTCCTGAGAGCAGCGGGGAAAACGCAAATGGACCACTTGCTCCCAAGACCAGGGGGGTTAAAGATGCGCTGCGCAAGGGCCTCACCACCAGCACGTTGCCCACAATGCCGGGGCCTGAGCATAGGCGCTCAGGCTGCTTCTGCCTCAGTGACTGCAGGAAGAGGCACATGCCGGTGAGGAAGTCCTTGGGCTGCCCAATGTCCATCCAGAAGCCTGTAGGGAGGAACGCACCAGGGGGCTCAGCTCAGCCCAGCCACAGACCCCCCACCCCGGCGGCCCCCCTGCCTCACCCTGCAGCTCCATGGCATACAGCTGCCCCTCCTTGGCCATAACAGGGAAGACCTCTTTCTCAATGGACGTAGGCCGCAACTGTGGGAGAGGGGAGCTCATGAATTGGGTAGGCTATGGCAGCTGGCTGTCACCCCGGGGCCCCCCGGCTGGTGCCCACATACCTGGATGCGCTGCAGCACCGCAGGGCTCAGGATGTACATGCCCGCGTTGATCTTATTGGACACAAACACCTGTGGCTTCTCTACAAACCGGTGTATCCGGCCTGTGTCAGCCTCACACACCACCACACCATACTTGGAAGGTTCCTCCACTTTGGTAACCTGAGTGCAGGGGGACCACAGGACCATTCTAGGGTTTCTGGGCTTTTTGTACATGTGTTGTCCCAAATCTCAAGGACTAGCCCCCCGAGTGCTCAAAGATACATACTACACAGCACTGGACTCATAACAGGAGGATGTTCGAGCCTTAGGGCAGGGGAGGCTGGGCATAGGGGTGGGAATGTCAAAGGAGAAGGAAGACCTGGTTCCTTACCAGGATGGAGCCCTCCTGGCCGTGGTGCCGGTGGAACTGCACCATGGCTTGGAAGGGAAAATCGCAGATCACATCACTGTTGAGGACGAAGAAAGGGTCTGCAGTTTCAGAGAGCAGGTCACGGGCCAGCGCCAGGGGCCCAGCTGAGGGGAGGGGGCAGGTCACCACATTGCTGGGGGCCTGAGTCCCTGGATCCAGGCTGGGTCTTACCCCTTTCCCGGACCTAAACTGTCCCTTGGAGTAAGTTCCTATTTCTACTGACCTGTCCCTAAAGGTTCCTCTTCGTGGGACATGGAGATTCGGATTCCCAGCTAGAAAGTTAAAGCCGTACTATCAGATTCTCCCACTGGGGTGGGAAGCTGAGCAGGGACCAATGGAAAGGGCGGAGAGTCGGTGCCTCACCCTCTGCTCCTGTGCCTTCATTTCCTTCTCCAGCACCTGCGACATGTAGCTTACGGCCAGAATCACGTGGTCCACGCCTGCCTGTCGGACAGATCGACGCGTGCCACAGGGGACTCAGCGGGAAGTTACCGGTACGCCGACCCCACCTCATCTGCTCTCTCACCACGCAGCGTCCAGGCCCTACCCCGACCCCAGGTCTTACCGCGGCCAACGCCTCCACTTGGTGTAGCAAGATAGGTTTGTTGCAGAAGTCCACCAAGGGCTTAGGGGTGCTCAGCGTCAGCGGCCGCAGCCGCGTCCCATGGGTGCCCCAGCGCCGCGGGCCCCAGCCGCGTCCCATAGCCGCCCACCAAGATGAGTGCCTTCATCGTGCCTGCGGGAGACGGGAGTGAGTCCCGGGATCCGACGTGCCTAGCCACCCCCTGCTCGAGCTCCCGCCGCCGTGCCGGCCCCACGCCCTTCACCAGCCAGACTAACCGACTCCGGTTCCACCTGTCGGCGTGGTCGACCCCGACGCGGGAACAGACAACACCAGGACCCAGGACGCGACAGGGGACTAGGGGCCGCTGGCCTGGAACTGAGGCCGGACCTGGCGCGGGCAGTGACGTAGCGGCAGCGGGCCAATCGGCT